GTTGCTGTTGTTGTTGATGTTGTTGCTACTGCTGTCGCTTCTCTGACTTCTTCCACTTCTTCGTTGGCGACAAAGTGCCACTGACAGTGCCGAAGACTGGAGAAATGAAGAGAATCGGCGTCCGAGCGTCTGCCGCTGTCGTGCGCCGTCGATCCGATCCGAAGCAGGCGGCAATCACTTGTGAGCACGGCGCGGCTAGTCGCATTGTCTGCCTGGCGTCTTCTGCTCTTCGGGCTACCGGAATCGAATCGCGGCACAAAGTTCCATGCGCGCTTTTCTCTTCTCTCCTCCACACTGAGAACATACACTGTGCAGACATAGACACAGACACAAGCACAAGAAAGAGAGAGAGACTAGCTACACCACGAACGCTGAATGAATGAATGAGGCATTGGCATTGGCAATGGCCGTCTAAGCGCAGAAGTAACGGTAAGCACTCTTACCCTCTTACGTCCCTCTCTCTCTTCCCTTCTTTCTTCGTCTAGCAGCCAATCGCCGTGCGTAGGCTTACTCGGTCAAAATCTTCATTCTTTTTTTGCCCGGCAAAACAACCAACTTCTTCTTCCCCTTCTTCCCGATAACTTGTGTGCTTTTCAGCGACTTTCCCGCGGTATTACGGGGTTTTTTTTTGCACCCACCACCACCACCAGCGGCAGCTGCCATTTGCCTTTACTTTTTTATTATTAATTATTAAAAAAATAACTACTTTTAGCTCGATCGCCCCGCCGGAAATGTCACCGTGTGCCCACCGTCTGCACCTGATTTAGACGGCAACAATTAGAAATCACAAAAAATCATCCTCAAGTGGGTGCAAAAAAGTGTCTTTCACAACTCTGCTTAATGGACTGCTGATGATGTGTCTCGATGACGACAGCAGCCGCAGTGTTTGTACTTGTTTGCCGACGGTACTCTTTAGCACCAGTGCACAGCACTGCATACACATCATGTCACCATTAACAGCACCGACGCCATTACCGTCATTGTCGCCACTCTTACTCAGTGTCTGTTACTCAAAGTGTGACAAATATTTTCCCTTGTTGAGGGAGGGCATATTGGCTTTGCTGTGGAATTTACCTGCACAAGGAAGATTGCTGTTTGCACTGAGGCCACTGCCAACCACCAAAGTTTGCATAGTAAATTCACCCATTCTCTCCCACATGGTTTCTGCTTTTTAGCCCAAACTGAAAGTAAATTTTTATTAGTCTAAAAGAATCAAGATAAATTTAAATTATTAACTATAAAGCTGTCTAAAACCAGACAAAGGCGATTTATTTTGCACTTTAATTTAGGCAGCCTAGGCAATTATTTGCAGTAGCAGAAGTTACAGCAGAGCCTAAATTGCGCTTCTCATCGGATCCCCCCCTTTTAGTGAGATGCTGTTGCTGTTGTTGTTTTTTTTTGCTGCTGTTGCTACTGCAAATGGATGAAGGCACATTACACGAAGGAATTGACCATCCATAAGCCGGTGGTACTTTTTTAGATTAATATCAACCCAATCGATGGAAAGGCTATTAATTGAAATGGTTCACGAGGAACGACTGTTCAGCGCTCTATATTTCAGACATGACATTGACCAGGCAGAAAACAGCACCAAAATATTGATAATGTCTGCGTCACAGCTGAGGCGACCACCAGTGGGGAGATCATGGTCGTTGTCAAGTGACAATCAAGTTTCCCTTCTCTCTTTTACTGCCTAGTTCTAAGGAAGTCACTTTTCAGAGTTTCACTTGGTATTCCTTACTGAAAATCGATTTAATTTAGCTTTGTGGCGAGTTTGGTCGATGATTGAAGGCAAACTGAGAACGAACGAGCGACAAGTCATTACTAGTTTTATTACCGAAAAACACATATTCATTTAAAAATTGAAATTCAATGCCGGCAAGCTCACCTTCAAGTTCACACAGGCTTACGCGCGTCAGTCTTTGCAAGTGACCAACAAAAGTAGCAAGTCAACGAGAAAACGTGTCTCGTCTATAGTCATTTTTGCTACTGCATTACTGTGCCAAGTACATAAAAGTAGTAAACTATGCAAAATACAGCTGTGTGAAGTATGCCTAGCTTGAAAAACAGGAACAAGGATATGAGGAAATCAAAGCCAAGGCCGACTACTTTTAATGACTACCACTGACTTGGTACAAAACAGTTCGATCAATGAAAATTTCCTAACGGTGTCACCTTCTTATTGTCTCCTCATTGATTCATAATCTAAAGTCGATAATGCGTTGCGCAAAGTACTTTGCTGGCAATTAGCTTTTGTGACAACCTTTTTTGTTTTTATTAGATTTTTGTACCTAAAAACAGATTGCAATAGTCAAGTTTTAATAAGGAAAATATCATTTCAACAGAAAGCAATTCCCAATATATACTTTCGAGTATTTGCTTTAATTGAATTTAAATGAAAGCAATAATGAATGCAAATCGAATATTTAAATCAATTCAAATTCGGCAACGCCTTTTTAGGCAGCAATTCACTTTTATCATTTCAATTTAAATGTCAATTTTCCTGCGCCCTAGTATTGCTTTTAGAGATCGTAAACTTTTTATGTAACTAACAGAAAAAACTATCAAAATATTACTATTAATGAAAACAACTAATTTCAATGCAGTGAGAATGACGGTAATGATTTGCCGTTTCAGGTGTCAGAGGCAGACAAAAAGAGGCAAAGAGGACTGACTGGTCAGCAGGGGAAACAATTGCCGGAACCGAGGACTGACCTTTGTGAAAGTAGGCCATCACCAGACAAGTGTACAGTAGTGTCCTTTGCCAAACAACCATCGAGCGGGAATGTCTTGAAAAGGCTTAGGGCTCACTTCGAGGTCGAAGTCAAATGTTAACGGCGCAATGGCGCCAGTTTAAAGTGACAGACAGTCTTGCGAGCATTGCTGCTGCCTCTTTTTGCCTTTCCCCTTTTTTTCCTTCCCCGAGATTCCGACCGCCGAGTTGTGCTGAACAATTCTGTTTTTGACATCGATTATGACGCCTTAGGTTACGTTTCGGCTCATTCTAGTGCGGTGACACGTTACTGGCCCAAAATGGCGTCACCCACATTTCTCTCTCTCTCTATTCCCTGCACCGTCCATTACACTTGCGATAATTTGCTTAGTTTTGCTCTATTCCAAATTGATACCCAGTGAAGGCATTAATATTAATGGTGCCGCCACAGTTGCTGGGCCGACTGCATTCACTCAGAGAGCATTTTGGTTGGCGTGAAGGACTTGTCCGATTGCAAATTGAAGCGTGCGCACCCCTCAGTGGTCAGCTGNAAATTGATACCCAGTGAAGGCATTAATATTAATGGTGCCGCCACAGTTGCGGGGCCGACTGCATTCACTCTGAGAGCATTTTGGTTGGCGTGAAGGACTTGTCCGATTGCAAATTGAAGCGTGCGCACCCCTCAGTGGTCAGCTTAGAGTGCCTCTTTCTGTCTGTCTCTGTCTGTGTGACAATTCGGTGTTGCTGTGGCTGGCGCCTGAACGCGACAAAGTGCCTAGGCCAGTTCCATTAAGCAATCACCTTGCAATCTCGCTAATTAGCATAAACACAACACACAGACACAATCACATTGATTGAGCCGTATGTGAGTGGAGGTGACCATACTCACACACACCTTTCCACTGAGTGCTGTGCTTCACCGAAAGAAGCTGTAGTCGTCCACTGAAGTGGCTAGGCTTGTTGTCGCCCACTGTGAATGCGGACTAGTACAGAGTGCCTCCATTAGCTGGTGAACAGCTCCCCATGGTCGACTGCAGCAAACATCAACTGGACAACATCGTTTCCGACTCTGCTGCTACTAAACGACAGTCCTGTGTACCCGTGCCTGCCGTAAAGTGGCAAATCGGTAATGTCGACCGAGAAGAAAGGAGAAAGAAAAGAAAGGGAAAGAAAAGAAAGAGTGATCCAAGTGCAAGCGTGGAAGCCAAGCCAGAAAGCCATCGATGCTCGTCCGCCTGTCCCTCGCAGTGCCCACTCACCACCGACTACTACTAGCGGTAATTAATTAATTCGTCCATTCTCCTCGGCTTGGAGAAGCTCCTCGAGAGGAAGTCGCTATTCAAATGGTGCACGCCTGCCGGCCGCGGACAATGGCGCACAGTCAATCACTGCCAGTGCTCGATATACATTGGCATTCAAGTGAGTGAGTCCTGCTTACCAATTACTAGACCACAGCGCTGCTAAGAAGACTGCAGATAACATAATTTTATGGGTAGACAAATAAATTGGCTATTAATTAATTAAAACTCCAAAGTGCATTTCGCTCTGACAGATTCTCTGGACAATAGATCAAGTTTTCGTTCCTTCGTCTGAAAATCAATACTCCTTCCGCGGAAGGAATAACAATTAATTATCAACAAAAAGAAGTTTATTGCAAATTTGTTGCCAGCCATCAGTGTGATGGTGGTGGTGATAGTGGCGAATAAATCATGCCGATGACAAGACTGCTATATACAGGCAGGGGAAAGACAAAAGAAGTCGGAAAACGATGTGACACTGTCGTCTTGACAGGGGTTGCGCCAGTGTAGCATCGGTTTCAATTTCAACAAGCATTCTCAACCCATCTTTTCGCTGGAGATGCCGCGCAATGTGTGCTCCACCAGTTCAGTGGCAGTAGCAGGTCTTCTTACTTCTCAGCTGTCAGAAGCTGGAGAAAAACGCCTAAGAAAAGAGTGAGCCCACAGAGCATTGCAAATTACAGTTTTGAACTTAGTCAAGTAGAGCAAAGTGCTAGATAAATTGCAGGGATGCGCCAGTGGCATTGATGGCATCGATTTTATCGAATCAAATGACAGTACACAGTGCAGAAAGGAGAGGAGCAATTAAAAGACGAGTAGTGAATCGAAGAGTGATTGCATCCTCCACTCAATTCATTATCAAAATGTTATGAGTACAAAAAACACAAGGACGACAAACAGCGAGGGCGACAACAGATGATGTGAGTGCGTTTCGATGTGGGGGAGTGGGTGCGCGATGAGGGGCGAATGGAGTGCACAACAAACTTACATTAATCATCGTCTTCTGATTCAGTGTCCAAATCGTAAATTTCGTCAGAGTCGTAGCCATTGGTGGTGGTACCACTTCGCTTATCATTAGCGGCGACACTCGCCTCTGGTCGCTGCTTCGTCTCGGCACGATCGTTCCTCTGTGCTGCTGTATATGGCTCCTTTGCCGTCCTTTCCTCGCCGTCCTCCTCCTCCTCGTCTGTATCCGGGCCCTCGTAAGTGCCAATCATAAAGCTAGAATTATAAATTTTATATGAAAAAAATCAATTTAGAAATGAAATTCAAAACAAAGTTTCAATCAATCATATTACTTGCGCCACTCGCAAAGTCGCCTGTTTGCGTAGGATTCGACGATGAAGTCCTGCGAAACAATTCGTCCGTTTAGCCGTTTCACTTCTCGGTACTTTGGTGTGTTGGCAACGGCACATCTGAGAATTGGAGGGGGGGGGAGAGGAAGGTGAGGTGAAAAGAGGAGAATGAGATAAATTGAATCAGAGTGTAAACAGTAGTGGAGGAGGAGGAAAGTCATCATAAATAATCCATCATACATTAAATGTGTACAATTAGAGTTCCAGTTGGGCTCGTACTTGGCGCCCATTGTAGTGGCTTTCTCGCGCAGCTCCGCTCTAAAAGGGTTCACGAATCCACTGAGGACAAAGACCACATCTTCCATCTGCCGTTCAAAGGGCTTCGCTGGCCTAGTGCCACTACTACTCCCTGAGACACTCTTCTTCCCCTTCGTCGGCTCCGCTGCGGCTGCCGATGTTGACGGCTGTTGCCGGACGGCTGTGGCTGTGGCTGCGGCTCGCGGCACAGTCTGGCTCCCTTGGCTGCTACTGCTGCTGCGGCCTGTTTCAGTACCGGCAGCCCCGGCACTGCCACCAGATGCGGTAGTCTCCTTAATTGGCTTCTCCATTTTCTTCGCCCTCTTCCTTTCACTACTGCCGCCATCTTCCTCCTTCTCCTTCTCCTCCGCTTCTGTTCGATCTTTTTTATCCTTTCGCGGTCCCTTTCCGCTGGCAGACTTTTCTTTTTGCTCTTCTCTTTCCTTATTCTTTTTCTCCTTCTGCTTTTGCGTCTCTTTTTCAGCTTCTGTGCTTTTTGCTTCACACTGTTGTTCAAGGCGCCTCAATTTAGGCTTCTCTTCATCTTTCCTTCCTATTAAATCTTTCTTATACTTTAAATCATGCGATGAAAAAGCGTCTTTATTGAAGTTACTTGGTGCCTTTTTAAGTTTGAATTTTCCAAAGAAAGAAAATTGTCGCGTCAAAGTATTAGTTTTTCTATGGCCGCAAAGACGAATAAACGACAAGCCATATCTTATTGACTAAAATAAATTGAATTATGCTTACTGCTTTTTGTTAGTTCACACCTGGGGATTACCTTGTTGAAGGGCTGAGAACAGACAAACTTTATATATCTCCAAGACTTGTTAGCAGCAGATGGCGAGAAGTGTCTGCTTTTAAAAGTATACTTTTCTTTACAGTTGGACTTTTCTTTAGAATCATTGGGAGACATGGAACAGAAGACGGGCACCAAAACCTAAGGTATTTGAATGAGATATGATTTTAAGCAAAATAAAATCTTTGAAATAATAATACCTTGTAGTCGCTGTCTGCTTTGTCCGAGACAAACACCTCAATGAAAGCAGAGTATGCATTTGTGATTGAAAGACGCTCCAGCACATGTTGCTCAATAAGATCCACAATGATCCAGCAGTTGTCTTGCCAGTAGTCACATTTCCAGGAAGTCTCATCTTTATTGAGCAAACTATCTGCTTTGTATTTCTATAATTTCAGCAGTTGTAAAAAGTAAATATGATTTAACGGTTTTAGCTCCAATTTACCCTGCTTTCGCTGGAAAAATCACAAATTGACAAGTTTTCAATTAGCGCCATTTCAAAAAGAGCACATGTTATTGTTAAGGCACAGTCTTTATCATTTGATAAAATATAATAAAAGCTCCCAATCTGACAAATAAACGAACGGCTTGGTAAGACTGGATTAAATCACATGTTATTTGATTTCACGATAAAAAAACAAAACAGTCTGCCCGGCAACTTTTCTATTTTGCACACATCTGCCACAGCTGTGTGTTTAGTCGCTACTTGTACAGTAAATCCCCGATTGCTCTGAAGTTGTCACTTCTGAAGTTATTTTGAGATATAAACAGAGCCATCAAACAGTGGTAATGACAGTAATTTGCCCACTTCATGGAGATTTAATCATGCGATAACTCACCTCAATACCACTCCTCTCCCAGGTGAAGTCTTCAAGGACAGAGCAGTGGTGAGGTGATGTGGGCAGGCAACAGCAGGTAGCACTACCAGTAGTTTTATTTGTACATAGTAACCGAGATAAACAATGGCTCCCAAATGAAAACCTTTTAGGCTTCACAGGAATATGGAGCCATAAATGGACCAATTAATGAGATTGCGGTCGCAGAAAGGGCGAGATATGGTGCTAGAGGTGGTGGGCTGGAGCGCTAAATTGGCCACAGCGCAGAGCGGGCAAGCGGACCGTAGCGGTTTGTTATGTTGTCGTCAGCACAACACGTTTACATAAACGCCAGACTCTGGTCACCAGCAAAAGTCGTCCACTCGCCTACCGATGATGACGATGAATAAGTGGATGTGAAGCACCTGCGCCTCGAATTGGTGCAATGTTGCAGTTGTTGGTGATCAGTGACACCAAGTCACGCCAGCCACCTTATCACCGAAGCACGGAACGACACGACTGCACTAGAGGAGCTGCACTCCACATCGGCAGCACTCCGCTCGGAACAGCTACAAAAATACTCTCCAGGAACGAGAATGCCCCATCAGACCACTCTAAATTGAACTTGATTTTACGCCGATTTTAGAGACTAGAACAAAAGACTGCCTGAAAATGGAGGATAAAGCATCGGCGGCCAATGGGGCTGTCAGGTGCACCTCAAGCAAGCGTCCACTCTCTGGTCGCCTCAACTTTCTGATCATCTCCATTCTAATCATCTTCATCGCATCGTTGGTCGCCTACCTGGTCAAGTATGATTCGCTGCTCTTGAATGGCAAAACAGATGATTCACTACCAACTATCGCGAAAAAGTCAAAAACCCCAGCAGCTAAAGCGCACACCACTGACATTGATGCAAAGGTGCAGCAAGCTTCTCAAATGGTGCGGTTCATTGATCATCTCCTCGAATCTAATTTGGATGATACGGTGACTGTTGAGCAATCGATAATTCGCCTCCGAGATGTGCTCAGGTTCAACAGTGTTCACTTTGCTCCACGTATCTCGTCCATCGTCAAGATGGACCCTTTCAAATTCGCCAAGTTCAACTTGAAACGCCCTTGCACCCTTTGGCCGGATGTTTTTTCCTGTACTAAAATGTATGCACAGCCATTTTGCAAACACTTTTATATGACAATAATATAACTTTTATTTTAGAGGATGCAATATAAAATTTTGTGATCGTTCGGAATTGCCGTCCTCTTACCTAGGTGAGTTTTGAATTTAATGAAAAGAAGTCCATACTAAAGGAGTCATTTTCAGAGCTTGATCGTGAAGGATTAGATAAAGACTGTCCTACAAACTCGCCGAAAGCATTGTCAGAGCTTGACCGAACTCTTTCCAAGGGTAACGTTGATGCCCTAAATGTACTTTTTGAGTGTTCGCGTGATGACAGCGAAGATTCACAATATTACGACTTGATACTCAATCCAGAACGATTCACAGGTACGTTTAGTTTTTCTAAATAAAAGTTAATTCACATGTTCCATTTTTATCTGTTCAGGGTACGATGGATACCAGATTTGGAAGGCAATTTATGAAGAAAACTGTTTTCCTGAAAGAGAAAGCAACATATTTTCATCGCTTGAGAAGCGCTGCTACGAAGAAAGAGTTTTCTATCGAAGCATCTCGGGTCTGCACACTTCCATTACCACTCACCTCACTTCACTTCACCACAAGTTTAACAATCAATTCGGCCATGACCCGCACGAATACTATAAACGGTTTTTTGGTAAGCTCTATTTCCATAATGCAAAATTTGCCTTTATTTAACCATAATTTAAATGTAGGTAATTCTGCTTATTTAAAAAATTTGTTTTTTGTGTACCTCATTGAGCTGCGTGCACTGTACAAGAGTCAACCATATCTGTTGGATAAAATTAAATGGAAAATGGTTGGCGACAAAGCTGAAGCGCGTGATGCGATCAAGGATTTGCTTAAAACTGACAAGTAAGTAAACGTTGCTCACAAAGTGATAGATCACCTTTAAACCACACAAGTGCTAATGCATTCTAAAACACACTGTCTTGCAGACTCTTCAAGTGGCACTTTGACGAGAATGTCTTGTTTACGAATGAGCCGAAGCCATTAGCTCAACAACTGGCCGCACACTTTCACAACATCACCTTCAACATCATGGACTGCGTCTCTTGTGACAAGTGCCGCTTGTGGGGAAAAGTGCAAACAAATGGTTTAGGAACTGCCTTCAAAATTTTACTAACAAAAGATATCAACCAGCTACGGCTAAGTCACCACGAGATCACCTGTCTTCTCAACTCCCTTGCTCGTCTCTCGCACAGTATAAATGCCATTGACGAGTTTCGCAATATATTCCACGGTATAGCAACCAATCAGCCCAGTGCAGCGGGCGTCAAGTCCAGTCAGGAGAAGAACAACCAAAACTTTATGAACTTTTTGTAGTCCAAGTCCATCGCCGATGGTCTTCTCGCACACACCACACACTCACTCACTCACACTTGTCTGCTTACACCTGTTATAATTTATTCAGTTTATTTATTTTTTGTTTACTCTTGTTGTCCTTGTATTAAAGGTATGTCATGTGCTCCTCTCCCTCCCTTTCCTTCATCCCCGATCACTTTCCACCATTCCTCTCCCTTCCTTCACCATCACCATCATCATTATCATCATCTTGGCGTCACATATTGGCGGCACGAATTAAATGCATCTTTCAACTACTTACCACGTTCTTTGTGCTCCTCAGTGCGCTAGTAAATACTACACTACCATCACCAATTATGCGCACAATTATCATTAGTTAATTTAATATATTTATGTGTGATGATGATAACAAGCAAATGAGCACGGTGAGCACTGCTGCCACTGCGCTCTGTGCTTGAGCGCTCATTTTGGCGCTTCATTCACACTGACATGCCTCGTTTACGGGGCTTGTCTAATTTGACACCGGCAGCAGCAGCAGCAGCAGCAGCAGCAGAAGCAGCAATATCAATATCGATATCGAATCGGCAAATCACCGTGCACTGCTGTAGCACGGCAACAACTATGACTTTGCCAGTGTCAGTGGAATGTCTTTGTCTCTGCTAGCATCGAACAGTGTCCCCCGTAGCCGTCATCATTGGCGGTGGCGCGAGCCACTACCGTTGATTGTTTTCTTATCACCTCAGTGCTTTCAATATTATTCAAGTAGTTGGTGCACTACTCTTCGTAGGAAACTGGTTGTCTACGTGAAGGGGAACTGCTCATAGGATGGTCAGATAAGGAAGAGAGAGAGAGAGAGAGAGAGAGAGAGAGAGAGAGAGAAAAGAAAAAGAAAGAGAAAAATATGGACACACCCTCCGAAAGTGGTGATGGAGATAGTGTGCTGTGTGGGAGATGACATCCACTGAGTAGCACACTACTGCCTCGAGCACTGTTCACACAACTCCAAAGCACACACTCGACCTCAGTTTCGGTGGAGTGTTTGTCACCAGTTTTATTGAGTGTGCACTTTTCTTACATGGAACTCATGCAGTCAATGTGTTGCAACTTTTATTGCTATTTTTCAAAAAGCTTGTTTCGAATAAATCACCTTTTCTGCTGTGCAATTGATTTGCATTTAGGCGGTCGACAATGTTTCATCAAACACGATTCATAAAAGTAAAAAACAAAACTAGTGGGTCTGGCTAATAAATAATTGCTCAAAACAGTTCATTTCATGCATTGGTCAATTGAACTGCTGTCAGATCTGGCAACTATCGAATCGATTCTCAGACGACCTACTCTACCGGTGACACCAGTGTGAAGTGTGCACCAAATTGATTTCGATCGAACTTGATATACTTTCCTGGCGTTTTGTGGCCGATAATGAAAAGTGCTAATGATATGCTAACTGATTGGTTGACTCGCTCACTGATTGGCCCTTCAGAGTATGGCCACAGAGTGAACAGAAAGGCCAACCGCACAGACTGCATGTCAATTACAACATCGAACGACTCTTACCAACTTTGCTGCTCAGAAAAGTTTACTTGAGCCTTTCAAAATTGCCACCATCGAAGAACTCGCCAAAACCAAGCAAATTTCCGCAAAGCTGCTGCTGGTGTGGGCTAAGGAGCTCAAGAAGTATCGGGCCAATCGGAATCACTAAAAATAAATTGTTTTTATATAGAGTAGTGAGGCAAAGGGAGTCTTCCTAAAAGAAACTGCTGACACCGCCAGATCCTTTTTGCAGCTTGTTTGCAGTGTCTTCTGTCAGTGTCAGTTTGAGGCTTGAAATAAAAAAAAGTGAAAGAACGAAAGTGAAAAGCCAGACAAAGACATCAGTGGTGAAGACTGATCACCTCGAGTGCGTGTCTTACTAACTCAGCCACTGACTCAGTCATCCACCAGGCAGTACTCTGTTGAGTGGTGAAGAGAGGCAGCAGTCAGCACGTCAGCCTTGAATCAAATGAAAATGAGCTCTAATTAAGTGATGGTGTATTTGTTGGCCAATTAATTAGCTGGCTGGCACACTGCAGTGTCTTTGCTGAACGTAGTCGTGGGCACAACAGGCACACCACTGGTGCCTCTGCAAATGCACAGCCGCTGTCTGCACTGTCTCTGCTGGCAATGTCTTAGAAGTCTTATGTGCCTCCTCCATGTGTGTGTCTGTTTGCCTGCCTGCAGTCTTATCATTACGAATCACTTTATTTGATCGCCCATCTCGATGTGCGACACGATTAGGAGAATTATAGCGAGAGAGTGAGTGAGTGTGTCTTCTCGGAGAGTGATCTAAGCTGCATCAGGCAGCACCAGCACTAGCACCACCGCCACTGCCGCCACCACCATCAGCACTAGCAGTGGCACTTAAGCAGATCCTTTTTGGCGCGGCACCGGCGAGGGGCTGCAGCTGCGCTGGCTTTGCGGTGTTTGTGCTAATTCTGAACTAAAATGACATCTCGCTAATCGGAATGTTGCCACCAAATTGATGTCTGTTCTGCAAACAGCAGCATCAGCAGCAGCAGCCTAAAGTGCATCTTTTACTACTTCATCTTCTGCTTCTTCGGGCATCTGAAAACTGCAGCGACAGAGAAAGAGCGAGACTGGTGCTCCTTCGCCACCGCCGCCTCCTCAGTCTTGATCGAAGTCACTGTGTGTTCTAGTGTGCTAGGCTAGGCTGCCGACTTTGCAGACGCTGCCGTCGCCGCCGTCGCCGTTGCCGCCACCGCAAAGAGTTGTGGCCAGAGTGAAGGCTCTCAGTAAGGGGAACACTCTCCGGAGCAATTAGGAGAGAAGAAGAAGCAATGGTCACAACATCATCATCAGTTTATTAATATTCCTTCGACTAGGAGAACAGCAACCTACCGCCGCCAGTCAGTCAGTCAGTCAGTCTTGTGTCGTCGCCCCGTGTGTCTCCTCTGCGAGCTTTCCGTCAGTTTGTGTGTCTGTTTTTGTCGGCGGCTGTTCTCTGCTTCCGACATGTCACTATTGTCACAACTGCCCTTCTAAGCGAATGTACACAACAGCCTCATCACCGCCGCCGCCGCCGAGCTCACAGACCCCGCCGAACAGCCGTCAAAGAGGATGTCAAAATTACAGTGGAAATCGAAAGTGCTCATCGCGGTTATGGTCATTGCACTGCTGGGCGTCTTTTTCTGGCTATTCCTCTACACTGCCACTTCCAGTTACTCACAGTTCAAAGTAAGTGCTTCCCGCGGTCCAGTTTAAAATCAAATGATGTCAAGTGCTCACTTTCCCTCTCATCTTCTCTTCTTTCAGTACGCCATCACCATTGATGCTGGCTCGACGCACAGTAAGGCGATTCTTTTCAAGTGGAAAGTCGAGAAGTTAAATGACACTGGGCTGATAAAGCAGGTGCGCACGTGTGACATCAAACCGGGCATATCGTCCTTCACGGGAGATCAGCTGGAGAAGGCGGCTGATGGCCTGATGGAGTGCATCCACCAACTGGCCGAACACTTTGACAGTGCCACCTCACTGGAGCACGCCTTTGTCTACCTGGGCGCAACGGCAGGCATGCGAATGCTAAACCTCTCAGACTCTCAAACCAGTGCCAATCTTTTTCAGTCAATTCGAAAACGTTTTGTAGACTCTGGTCTGCAGACAAAACGAGTCTCCATAATCACCGGCAAAGAAGAGGGACTCTTTGCATGGGTATGCTTAAACTCCATCTGACTGTTTGGTTAAACTTTCTGCACTCATTAGGTGGCAGTCAACTACTTGTCGGGCACTTTCTTTGACCACATCAAGGGGGTCAACTCGGGAAATCGCACCTTTGGTGTGTTGGACATGGGCGGTGCCTCGGCGCAAATAGCACAGCAAATTAGCAGCAACCTCAGCGGCAGTGGTGATGAGACGAATGATTATGTGCACATTCGCCTGTACGGCACCAACTACACCGTACACACGTACAGCAACTTCTGCTTCGGCACTGAGCAGGCACTGAGAAGGTATTTCTGCAAGATGGCATCCTGATTAGGCTGACAAGGCTGAAATTTGCATTTCAGGTACTACAAAATCACTCGCAGCAAACATATCATCACCGACAAAAGCAAGTCTACGCAAATTGAAGCGCCCTGTTTGCCGAGAGGAGAGACACTTCCATTGGACTCACTCGAAGTGGACAATGTCTGCACTGCGGACAAGAGTGCAAAGTCAGCAGCAACAGATTCGGCGGCAGAGCAGCACAAAATTGAGCTGGTGGGCACGAGTGACTTTGACAAGTGCCAAGAGGTGGTCAATGAGATATTAGATCCGCAGACATGTGAAACAAATTTTCATTACTGCTTCAAAGAGTCGAGTCACCCCAAGGAAAGTACATTCTTTGCCATCTCTGCGTACTACTACCTGACAGATGTACTTAAGTTGAAGAATGAATTTTCAAACATTGACTTTTACCAGTTCTTGAATGCCACTCGCCATATGTGCGAGCGTTCAAGTGCCGAACTGAAGGCAATGCCAGGACTGAATGAAAAGTACCTCAACAAGTACTGCTTTCAATTGATTTATCTTCATAGGTGAGTGCTAGATAAAAGTGTTTTTAATATTAACTTTATTTGAACTGCTTTCAATCTACAGCACGCTGACCAAAGTGTATCATTTTGACGAGAAAACGTGGTCAAACTTGAGGTTTGCCACGTACATCAACGAAGCATATCTCGGCTGGGTTTTAGGATTCATGATCTCAGAGAGCAATGCCATCCCTCGCGAGGAACCACTACCTGAAATTCTGCTAGAAACCAATTTTTACACAATTCCAGTGAGCTTCCTCCTCATTGTCTTTGTCATTTGTGCCATTTGTATAGGGAGACAGTTTAAGATGATGAAGAAGATGAAGCCACAAGACAATCCTTCCCCTCCTCCTCCTTCTTCACTTCCAATGACCCAAGTTGCCTAGACTTGAACTTGTATTATGTACATATATCAACGTTTTTTGCAAAGTATTTTTTCAAATAAATTATTGACAGTACCGTTGCATTTCAAACTATAATTTCATTCATCGACGGCGCCTTTTTACGGAAAAAGTTTCTGAAAAAAGTTTTAAAACAGTACGTCGTTTATTAACGGGCCACGTGGCTCCGCACGTGGGTTTCAATTTGTTTTGATTTTAGCATTTTTTTCTCGTTTGCCGCCGATGGATTTGTAATTTGTGTAATCTCCAAATCAAAATGGCAATTACCAGGAGTAACTTGGAAGATTTTCCACGTTCGGATGGAGCAAAGCCGACTTTTGAGACTCGGAAAACTCCGGTTCGAGTTGAAAAAGATGATCAGCTTTTCAAAAGTAAGCATTTAAATCTGTGCATTGATTTGTTAATTTATAAAACTGTTAAACGCGTTCAGGAAAGAAACCGGAAAATAACAAACAATTTGGCAAACAAAATAAAAAGAAACATCAAGCCAGGAAAAATGAATCAATCGCTCCTGCTCCGGCAAAACTTAGCAAAGTGGTCATTGAGAATATGACTTTATCACGGCTCGTTGAAGGTTTAACAATCTACGGGTGCATTTTGGAGATTGATGAATTCGAACTAAAGTTTTCCGTGACTGGTGGAGTTGTCATCAAAGTTCCCATCATGAATATATCTTCTCCGTATGCTAAGCTGATTGAAGATTTTGCCAACGATTCCTCTTCTGATACGCCTGAAATTGCCAAACTCAGTGCTCTTTTTCAAATCGGCGACTACTATCCAGTCAAAATTTTATCCAAAAAAGTCTGTGATCAGTTTGGTCACACTGAAATCATCGGCTCTATCAATCCAAAAGATATCTACAGCAATTTCTCAGCAAAAACAGTAAACAACCTTCATGATGGCTACAATCTGCTTGCAGCTGTTTCAAGCCTTGAGGATTACGGCTACGAAATGGACATTGGCGTTAACGGAGTAAAGGCGTTCTTGCCACTTGAAGACTTAAAGAAGAGTGGTTGCCAGACTAAACTGAACATCGGCCAGCTGATGCCCTGCTCGCTGCTGCGAAAAAATGAACGCAGTATTCTTTTGACAACAAACAAAAAACTGGCCAACAGCTCAATTGAACTCACTGACGAGCCTTCCATCTACTCGTACGTGCCAGGAACTCGCGTCAAATGCATCATAACTGAGATTCGGCCATCAGGCCTGGAAATTAGCTTGCCCGGGGGCTACAGTGGATTTGTGCCTCGCTATCACATTAGCGATGACATTATGACATTGCCAAATAAGTTTACCGTCGGAGATGCCGTCGATGGTCATGTGCTCTACATGCAACCTCATACCAAGCAGGTGTGCGTTTCCTTAAAGTCAAAACTTAGCAAGAAGTTGGTGAAAACCCTGGTAAATACAATTCAGCTGGGCCTCATCATCAAAGGAGCTGTCATCTGCGGTGTCGGAGAGTTTGGTCGTGTTCTTTTCAAGCAAGTTTGCCAATTTGAATTTTTATGAGCACTTTTTTATACTAACTTTATTCTTTACATTAGATTACCATCAAATAGCTATGCTGTTTCACTGAGAAAGAATCTGTGCGAGCCTACGGAATATGAAACATTGAAGCTGAACGGCCAGTTCGCAGTTGGAACGTCGCATCTTTGTCGCGTGAAAAAGTTCCACCTGTTTGACAACTTGATTGAGATTTCACTTAGGAAATCCTTCATCGAAGGAAATGATCTTTCGCCCAGTGATCTTGCAGTCGGTGCAATTGTGGAGGGAACAGTGAAGAAGTTTAAAGAAAACGGCATCTACGTTCGTCTTGGCTTTGGCCTCAACGGTTTCATACCCAACATGCACCTCACTGATGCACCTTTCGTCAACTTGGCTAAGAATCGCGAAAAGATGTTTGCTGAAAAGAAAACGCTCAAATGCCGAATAACTCGACTTGACACCACCACCAAAGTGCCGAAAATTTCACTTACAATCAAGAAGTCATTGCTCGCATTGAAAGAGACGGATATTTTCTCTGATTTTAGTGATATCAAACCTGGCATGTCTTCCACTGGAGTAGCCTGCCTGATCAACTCAAAGGGCGTTCTTTTGGAATTTTTCGGCCATGTCGCTGGTTTTATTCCACTCAAGTATCTAGCCACTTACCAGATTGATCATCCTGAAAAAGTATTCTCCATCGGTCAGCTTATCAAATGTACAGTCGTTTCAGTTGATGTACGCGCCCAGCGTATGGTCTGCTCTTTAATCGACATCAATGAGACAAAGAAGCTAAAACTTAACACTGATTTGACTGAGAAAAAGCTTTTAAATTCCAGTCTGCAAGTGGGCCAGATTCTTCGAAAGCTTAAAATCATCACAAAAACGGCAAACAAAGGCCTCGACCTCACCAACGATAAGCAGAATATTCAGGTTTTTCTCTCTTTGGCTCATCTTTCTGACAATACCTACCTGAGTCGCCTGCTCTTTACTGGACTCAAAGTTGGCGACGTAATCGATCAAGTGATGGTATTCTCAGTTGACTCGGCCAACGTTGTGACTGTTACTCGGAAAAGTTCGTTTATTGCCAGCAAGGATTGCCTTGTGACATCGGAGGATGATATTCAACTGAAGCAGCCGTTTCCAGCTGTTGTCCGAAATGTCACCCACAATGGCATCTTCTTTGAAACTCCGAACGCTCATTTTGGCGTGATTCGTCGCAAGTTTATTCAAGATGGATTTTATGAAGAGCCGCATAAACTTGGCCTCATTCGGGGGCAAACCATCTTTGTGACTGCTTTCGACCATGTGATTCATTCTGAAGAGGAAAACGATAAGGAAGAGAATGAGCACCAAAACGAAGGCAATCAACTCAAGCGGTAAATCAATTTCCCTTTTATTTTGTTTTTACTTATTTTTATTATCAACTACTAGGTTTAAGTTTTCAATGCGACTCTCTGACGTTTGGGACCGCGAGTCAGAGGCACAAGTGACATTAATGAAAAATTACCTAGTGGACTACTCGCTGGCTCTGCAGCGTTTTAAAGCCAAAGCCGCTACTGTCACCGAGAACTCGTCAACTGTGCCGGAGAATTCCTTTCACGCAGTAATGAACAAATTTATTTCTTACTCAATCGGCCAAGTAGTGACGTACGTCGTCACGAGCATCACCGATGAGCATATCGAAGTTAAGATCAGCCTGACGGGAAGCAAAAACGAGAGCACCGTGTCTGGCCTGGCGGTGAAGTACACTGACTTCAGTGACCTCAGTGTGTCGCACATGGGGAATGCCGTCGTCTGTGACTACGACTTTGACAGAAAGGCTCTCCTCGTCTTCATTCAGCCGCAGCCTGCCAAAATCGTACGCCAGGTGAGGAATTCGCAGAAATCGAACAGCTTTGTGAAGAACATCAAGATAGGCCAGCTGATCAAGGGAACGGTTATCTACTGTGGACAGCGCTACGTGCTTGCGTCGCTCGGTGGCCATGCCCCGGGCGTCATTGCGTACATCCCTTCCAGGCGCCATCAAAACGATCTCAGTCAGATTGAGACGCTCTTCACAGTGGGGGAGGACTACCACTTCTCGGTGATGCACACTGACGACACCGGTCGTGTGATTGCTATTTTGAATACTGACGGCAAAAAATCTTCCAAGTCAAAAGGAGCTCAGAAGGAAACAGTAGCAAGCAAGAGCAGTAAGAAGGCAAAAACTGAAACGGTGAAAGAGGACTTGAAGAAAGTTGCAACGGCTGAAATCGTCAGGTAAGGGGGGGGGGTTCTTTTTAATTATTACACATGAAATGACTTGTTTACTATTTTGCATTTGGATTGCAGTCTTGTTTCGGCAACAACAACAGGTCGCAAGTGCAACCCAAGCAAGGACGCCAAAGAAGCAAGTCAGAACGACTTTCAGTGGGATATTCCTGATCTGACTCCTAATCTGAATAAGAAGCGCAAAAATGCCGCTGCAAGCGATTCTCTGAATGAAGGAGAAGATTGGGACAAGCTGCTCTCTGATAGTGATTCAGATGAGGAGGCAAAGGGCAAAAAGAGGCGAAAGACGAGGGAGGAAAGAGGTGATGAGGCCCGTCAGAGAGAATCGGAGCTGAGGCAGAAGGAGATTGAGCTCAGCAACACCGAGCGAACTCCAAAGGACAAAAATGACTTTGAAATGGCTGTTCTGGCATCTCCAAACAGTTCTCTCGTTTGGCTAAAGTACATGTCCTTTTACCTGGAAAAGGGCGACATTGCTCAAGCGAGAGCCATCGCTGAACGTGCTTTGGAGCGCATTTCATTTAGGTTAGCTCGTCTTTTTGCCACCTTTTATTGTACTTTATTTTATAATGCAACATTTTTAAACAACAGGGAAGAAAAGGAGAAGCTGAACGTGTGGATCGGCTTGATGAATCTGGAGAACACGTACGGTGATCAGGCGAGTATGGACGCACTCGTGGAGAGGGCGATCAAGTACAACGACCCGAAAACGATCTACCTTCAGCTGGCGAGCATCTACGACAGCTCTAACAAGAAGGAAAAGGCCGAACAGACGTACCACTTGACGCTTAAAAAGTTCAAGCAGGACAAGTCGACATTGATGGAGTTTCTCGTTTTCTACATGAGCAACGAACGACTAGAGTCTGCACGCAAGCTCTTTCAGAAGTCGCTGCTCACGCTGGAGAAGCGCGATCACGTGGATGTCATTTCCAAGTTTGCACAACTTGAGTTTCGCTACGGAGACAGCGAAAAGGCGAAGACGATCTTTGAGTCGATGCTGGCCACCTACTGGAAGCGTCTCGACCAGTGGTCTATCTACATTGACATGCTGGTGAAGTACACTCTGGAGGAGAGCAACCTTGACTCGGTCGAGTTTGTGCGCAACATTTTCGAGCGCCTGATCACTTTCAAGCTGCCGCCGCAGAAGATGAAGTTCATCTTCAAGAAGTACTATGACTTTGAGGCAAAGTTCTCTTCTGAGAACTCGGACAATCTCGACCGAATCAAGCAGAAGGCCTTAGAGTACATTGAGAGTGACATATTTTGATCGATCACTCTCTGTGTGTCACACTCAACCGCTCGACCGCCCAGTACACGACACTGTTCACTCTTTTAATTGCTGTAATTAATTGACTATTATTTGCATTGAACTTTAATAGACTATTTTTGCTCTTTTAACGACAAGCTCGCTGCGCAGTTTTTTTGCTGCCATCAGTCGATGTCTCACTTTTTTTCTATTCCCGGGCACTGTGATTGGCGGTATGTGTGTTTGTGTCAGTCAGTCAGGCAGTTAGGAAATGCAATTTACAATTTATAGTTCGACCGAACCTTACCCGTCGAAGAATGGCTGCTTGTTCATGCCAGGTATGTTCTCTTTCTCAGCGCGGTCACTGTTAGCCTGCCAATGGCAGCCACTAATCAGAATATTTAGCAGCAGCAGCAGCGGTCGGAGCAGCGGCGCATCGATGTCATTGGACGTGTCAGTGGACTGTATGTTGTCCTCCCTGGACTTGTTTGTTTTGCTTTGTTTCGCCTGCTGTCGTTTTTCAATTAGCCCACCGTATAGCTTTCATCTTCGCCCCTAGGTGCCTCATTGAGCGCACAGCACGAAGTCATCGCCGCGATGACTCTCCGCCGGCCGTTCTCTCTCGCTCTCCCTGTCTGGACGTCTCCCTCTCCTCGTTCTCATTCTTTCATTCAGACTGCTCTCTCTCTCTCTCTCTCTCTCTCTCTCTCTCTCTCTCTTTCTCTTTCTCTCTTTCTTTCCTATTCTCAATCGGTATTCTAATTAACCAAAGGAGCTATTCCTCTTGGCGGTCATTATGATGTGTTTGTTTTTCTCGGACTTGTGGATAGTTCAAATCGTCAATAAAAGATTTGCACCACAAGTTCTCGCTTTCGCTGAACGGGGGCGATCGCGAGAACTACTATCGGGAGAAGCACGAGAACGCTGGCTCAGCTCGAGGCCAAAGTGAAAGCAAGTTGGCACCAATGGCCAGAATAGTGGCTCAACTGCCAAACTGACCACTACTGGACAACTGCACCAATGTCAGATTCTCCAGACCTCTAATTTGCCTGCCTCTGAGTTGTGGGCTAATTGCAATTTGCCAAGTTGACATGCTCACCCTGATAAGAATCAGCACTGGTGAAGGACAATGCAACAAGTGGTGGTGGTGGTGGTAGGCTGCCATCGCCCTGGCACGCACTGCCCGCTACGGAACAGATATCATTTGCATAGACAGACTGAGACTGAGAAAGAGAGTCAAAGTCAGAGGTAGTCGCCAGTGCAGTAGTCTGCAAACACGTCTGTCAGATTGTCGGTGATGAGGATGGCGATGGTGGTGGTGCTCTTAGTCTTGGTGGATGCCATTTAGCTGTGGCACAGCTTGCACTGCCACACAAGTCACCATTCTCCTGGCTATAAAATGACAAAAAGATGACAAGTAATTTAGCAATTTCAACAATGTGCTATTTTGGTGGCATACACCTCCTCAAACGTACCTTTTTCAAAAAATATCTACGCTGCTTATCACTTTCTTAGGAATTGCTGCTGTTTGGGATGGCTAAAACGAGTTGTTGTTTTCCTACAAACTCCCTGTCGCGACGGTCGTGCCAGCCAGCGATATTGTTAGTAGTTGTGGTTTCCCTTATTGATGATAATAACTGAGTGTCATGTGCTTTGTTTACCTATCGCCACCAAATGCCCATATCCACGTGCTTCAATAGACTGTTTGGCAGGCAATGTCTCACCCAAGTGCATGTACCTTTGTCGCCGCCGGTGACGTAAGACTCACACCAAGACTCAGACTTCAGACTTGCACTTTAAGGTGGAAATCGCAGTTGAGTCCTAATTGGACCGCAGGAGACGCTCTCTGCGACAGCAGTGGACATGTTGACAGTGCCAGTGACCGATGACAACTGTGTCTCAGTGGTGGCGAACAATGTCCTCCACACAAGGTGTTCCCACTGGTGGACAGTCAGACAGTCGGAAGTGTGGAGAGTCTGTGAACAGTCTGGCACCTCGGACACAGGCACTTCTCGCTCGAAGTGTTGCTGCTGTTCACTCGGAGTGTCCACTTGAGTTGAACAATCGCCAACATCGGTGACTGGTCATGCTTTTCGGCGCGTCAAAGTCGGCAACAGCCACTACTGCTTCTACCACAGCGAGCTAGCCTGATGCAAAAAATTCTTCACTCTGATTTATTTAGACAATTCGCCGAAGAGCTACAACCGCTGCCCACCACCATTGCCAGCACCACTACTACTTCATTGCCATTTGACCCATGTTAGTGTTATGTCCACTGTGTTGACCGATTTGCTCGTTTCGCACATTATCTAACCGAAACGAGTTTGCTTCGCATGAAAACCTTTCCTTTCTTTAGACTTAATATTTATTGACACCGTCTAGAAGGCTCCATTGTCACGTGTATTGTTTTATTAGCAAGTCTGTGTATTAGTTTACAATAAATTTGCCTTTCGTTCTGCTCTCAATGCACTCTTCGAAAAGCTGAAAGTTGTGCTTGAGAAAAGCTTGTCTACACATACTTTACAGCCCATCAAGACACTTTAATTGCTTAGCCAGCTTTTCCGCACTACTTCTGACCGATGAGAAGAGACAAACTGAAAAAACTGACTAAGCAGATCGTGTTCGATTTGGTCCTTAACCTGCATTTGGATTTATGTAATTCAGTGTTGGTTAACGAACAAACTGACCACCTCATTGCTGGCTAATTACTTTGTTTACTCTTCTCTCGGCACACCGTGCTTGGACAATCAACGGTGATGGTGGTGATGGTGGTGGCATATAAGCTGCGGCAGATTTTGTTGGCTGTTGTGATCTGAACTGAAGTCTCTTCACACGTTCGACCACTTTTTGACACATTGGGCAACGGTCAGTCGATGGTGAGCAGCATCTGCTCGCCTTTGTTTCGCTGTGACTATGCGTCTCGTGGTGCATTGCCGCAGTGAAGTCATAACAAAAAACTTTCATTTTTCTTTAGCAATGTTTATTGACAGGCGAATTGCGATCACATGCAACCGCGATGTCGTGGTCTCAAGCGCAAGTACGGCACACACTCAAACACTAAAACACTGAGAGTGTCTAAAAGAGATTGAGCCCACCACCGCAACTTCTGAAGTCTGCTGCTGCACGCAAAACGAGGCTTCGGAAAAGAAACATTATTAAGACAAAAGCGACCACGATATGATCTGCCGGCAGAAGAAAGTGGCTGCAAAATAAAACACAAATTTCTCTTTTTCTCTTTCCTGAACGGAGACGTAAGAGAGAAAGAGGGGAGAGAGGACGAAGGAGCACACTGGCAGAGTGGTCAAAGAATTTACGTACCGGCGCTGGAGGCGATCTCAAAATTTGAATTAGCCAGCCTTGTGAGCTTGCCATGCTTGAAACAATGGCTGCACTGTTCAGCAGCCCTGCACACTGGCACAAGGCAACGAGGCGACAGCAGCAGCAGCGACTGAGGGGGCGAACAATGGTTTGGAGTCAATGAAGTGGGCGACTGGAGGGTATTGCTCACCAAGGCCAGCGCACAATCACACGTGAAGGGAGGCATGCATGCACTCACTGACAAGTGTCATTCGGCGCGTGTGACCTTTTTCCGTTACATCCTAATGCTGCCATTGTTGCGCTGCTCTGAATGCTGCTTTGATTCAGTCTCTCTCCCTCCCTTTCTCTGTTTTTGGTTTGTTTGCATTCAGCAGCCTTAGTGAGAGCACCCTGCGTGCGCCAACGGCCAAATTGGCCACTTTCAATGGCCAAAACTCAAACAGTGGGTGCACTAATGATTTCTATCTAATCGATAGGGCAGTGGCAATATTATNTTAGTGAGAGCACCCTGCGTGCGCCAACGGCCAAATTGGTCACTTTCAATGGCCAAAACTCAAACACTGGGTGCACTAATGATTTCTGTCTAATCGATAGGGCAGTATTAGCAATATTAGCTCTAATTATTATGCAATTCATCAGTAAAAGTGACTGCCAGTGTGCTCTTGAAAAGGTCGCATCATTAGTATTTGAATGCTAGACAGAAGAGGAAAAAAAGAACAATGGTTACTTTTAATTAGGCGTTGCTAGATGTTCATTAAGAGCAATTATGTCAATTAATTACTACTTGCGCTGGCGCACTAGCGTCTGAAAGTTGGACCTAGGCCAGTGTGCCACTCGGTCGACCTCAGTGCAGTGCTGCAGTCAAAAAGATGAACCTAATAATTAAAGACAAAGCACAGAATGCCTTCCGACACCTCACTGCCACCCTTCAAATTACCCAGTCAGACCACTGGAGCACACTGTGCGACAAAAGTTCTTTTTAGACTGTGCATTCTTGGCTAAATTCTCTCAGATTTCACTCATATTTTTTTTTGCAAAAATGCATATGTGCTGTTGTTGTTGTTGTAGCTGAATTGTTCTCCCTAACCGCACAACTGACTTGCGGCTGACCATATAATTTTGCCCTTCAGTATCCTTTTGCATTATACAGCAAAGAGGATCACCGATTAATTTGATGCGATCTGATATTCTAATATTAAAAGGTGAACTCAAAAAGCAATGGGTGAAAAACGATGGGGCACAAACGAAGTAAAGTGCTAATGTGACTATGCAAGAGCAATTAGCAACAATGATGATAGTTCTGGCGAGTTTAGTGGCGTCGTACTTTCAAAATTACAGGGTGACCAAACACAGGCAAGAACTGAGTGACTCGGCGTTGACCAGGACGAGCAGGGCAGAGGAGCAGTATGATTAGTGGCTCTTTTATGGGGAATAACACCCAGCAATCTCTCTTTGATGATCTGCCGCTCAGTGCTCGGCGGCGTGTGCTTGGCTGCCGTTGCTGCTGCTGCTCATTCATCGATGTACACTCCGGTGGTGGCCAGTATCTGCAGAGTGACTGAGCAATAATGTGGACTCTTTACTTCCTTAACACTTTCCTCTCTGTTTACGCAGCACAGAGAAGGCTAACGGTGGCCAGACAGTACTGAAGGTGACCGCGTAATTGGCTTGTCGCGTCCACCCTCCAGGTACCATTCACTCAC